AATATTGATCAAATTTCAGCCTCGTTCTTACAAGTTCCGGTCTCCTTGCGTGCGCAGGTGAAGAAAAGGCAGCATTGCACTGATCTGGTTCGCAGCATGGCGCTTGCGAATGCAATGAATGGTATGTTTGATGTGCTATCTGCAGGTCTTCATGCACGGGTATAGTGTTTATCAAGAAGACAGATTGCCGAGGAGAACCAAATGAGTATGTGAAGTGATACGGCGATCTCGTTGCAATGTTCGCATTTCTTTCCTTGTTTGTTAGTGCACAATGGCATGGGAGCGTGAAAAGGATGTGAAAGTTACACGGATGTGAAAGCTACAATAAAAAAAAAAGCATGGCCTTCGAGATGTGCAACCTCATGACGTATTTTGGTGTCTTTGGATTTAGAACACATGTACCAGAGGCTACACTTTTTCTAGCTTTTCGCATAAAAGCAGCTGAAAGCAGCGATTGCCAACTACAAAGGCCCAAGTTCCATCTTCCTCTTTTTGCCATTCATACAATATACATTTGAATAGGCCCTTTCATGGCTTAGCACACCCAACACACACACACTGCCACGAAACAACATTTGCAAAGATTACATGCGAAGTAATATACACCAATTAGTTTATTTCGAGCACTTCAAAATTTTCAATACTTTAAGGGGGGGGGGGGGGGCATGGTGTGTGGAGATATTTTCTGTATTTGTAGACCAATCATAATGAAGATATGCATGCTTAAAGTAGTTTTTCTGGCTGATTTCAAATATGCAAAAATCTTTATTGTTGGTCATTTAATTCAGAAGATACACAATGCTGCCCTCTATTGTTTTTGGAGACATTAGAAAATGAAGTGCTTATCAAAAAGTAAATATTATTGCATAGCTAGGCAGTGCAATAAGCAATAAGTGCAATGCTGCAAGCAGATTTCAAATTTAAGAAAAACTAGTGATTCTGCAGATGATGAAAGTTGAAGAGTCATGTCATGGCTATCACATACAAAGAAGTTTATTACCTTTTAAATTTATATGGGCAGCAAATGGAAATTCTGCTCTCAGCACTTTGTAATACACATATTGGGCTTTATGTTAACGAAAAAATTATTGCTCTAGGTGCTCTAGATTGCAAGATATCAACTCGACAAACTAGCAAAGTTACCAAAAAGCATGTTTTCAGAAAACTGAGAAACTCATTCATTTACATAACTGCACTTGAAAAAGTTCAGTATGCACCGGGCATGTAGTCCTTTTCACTATGAGTTCCTGTGTGGCGCTTTTTTAGGGACTGGTGCATGTTCTCCGTTGCTTTTCGCTTCTTTGCTGATGCTGCCGTGCGTCGACGATCCTTTTCAGCCATACGACTGCGGGTCGCCAGCTGGGGTTTAGGCTCAGCTCTTTCATAATGTCTTGTGATGCCCTTTTATTACCTGCATTGAACTTGAGCACTCCTTCTGCCACATCTGCCTCCACCGTGAATAGCGAAGCATGTCGCTCCTTTGGTTCCAGTGTCCAGGTAATTGAATGCAGGCATTCGTTGTTGTTTTGGGTTTTCCCACACTGGCATCGTTGCAGCAGCTTTCTGTCTGACAAGCGCTCATAAATGGGAAGTAAGGCTTGGCAGACATGTAGAGGCTGCTTTCGACGTTGTTTAGGACTGGGCTCCCCCTTGCCCTTTGTCGCATTTTGAACTTTTACAAAGGCGTACTCTTTTCGCATAGGAATGGCGGATAGCTCCCAATGTGAATCGTGCGACACTGACGAGAGAATAGATCATCTACTGTGTTCATGTGAACATTTTCCGAGCGAATGCAACTTGCTACGCGAAACGTTAGAGACACTAGACAGTAGACCTTTTTCCAAAGAGAAGATACTTGGCTCATGGCTCTACGCGTCGCTGGCCAGCAAAGCGACGCGGGCATTGCTAAGTTTTCTAAAAGACGACCGGACTATGCGACCGCTTATAAGCGTGCAATGGACAAGGTCACATCTACACACACATCTTGTTTGCACCAGGAATTTGGGCCACGTGGGCACAGAGTGTGGTTTGCCATATCATCATTGGATGTGATGTGACGATGAGTGGCCATCACTGCTGTGTGCGTAGCATCAACATCTCCACTGTGTGTCTTCAGAGCCCACTCGTAATAATTGGTGAGCTTGGAGATCAGGTCCCCTGTCAAGTGGCCCTTTCCCCCAAGACTCTCAAGGCCAGGGCCTTTGTGTTTTGCAATCAAGTTGCGAAAAGCAGTGCCCATAGGCTTTTGGACATGATTAATGCAGTCCTCTTTTTCCACTGGGATATACTGATAAACCTCATCATCGTGTAACGCAAGGTAACTGGCTGTCCCCGTGGCAAAGCACCGTGGTGTAGCGCAGGTTGTGCCGCTCAAGTGACCTCCTGAAGAGGATGAGGGCAGCCTCAACCTCCATTTTTCCAGCCTTCTTGTCACTGTTTTTCTGACACTGGTGATTTTCCTTCCATGGTGCATAAGAAGGGTCACCTTCCTTTGGGTTTGACTCGCATCCAGCACAAAAGTTTCTCAAAACAACGAAGTCAAGCACCAGCCCGCTGAGCAATTCTATGGCGGTGCCGAGACCGATATGCGATGAGTGACTGCGAGTCATCCATGACCCATCAAACGACGCCGCGATGTTTCCCATGTGGCCTATATTAAGTTCCGCGTAAAGTTCGCAAACCGACCACGCGCAGTCACTCGTCAATATGCAGTGCAGCACGATCGGCCGCGGGTGCCAACTTCGTCTTCACGTAGTGTTGCCACGTTTTCGTGTGAAGACCCTGACGGCTGATGCCCATAGACGAGAACACATCATTTAGCGCGGTCTATTTGTTCACCGTTGCCTGCAAGGCATGTGCGGCCAAAACGTTCACAGCAAAAGGTTTCATAGGTTCATCGCTACGTAGCACGCGGTGAGCTCCACAACGACGCAGTCTCCCTACAGGTCAAACACACAAAACGAAACTTCACGAGTCCGAATTCCCGGTCGTCGCGGCCAGTCTGCGATTCGCCGTTGCATGACTTGCACTTTGCAAATGCCAACAAAGCGCTGTTCACTGTGTCCAAATCTATAATTGTGAACGCGGTTCCATCAGGCGGCCGAGCTGCTTCGTCGGCACCGTCAACCGTGAATGTGCGTTTTCGCTCCGTCGCTGCAGCGGACGACAACTCCGATAACTTATTTTGGGCTTTAGCTCACTCCTCTTCCAAGTCAGATTGCTGCCGATAGATAGTATCTAGACGCACGCGACCACTGCTCGAAGGCTCTGCGGCCGACGGACTTTGCACAGGCTCCGTGACAACTGATGCGGTGGCTAGGCCTTCCGTGGTAGCCTCAACAACTTCGGCAAGGGACGCGAAGAGGGTAGCGTCTTGGGGGTTTTGCGGTATCACGGAGCGCTTCTTGAAATTAGCAACTAGCGTCCTTCACACCTTTTTCACACCAAACTTGTGCCGGGTGCGAATTTGCGCTCGGGATTTGGCATCGTGAAACTTCTCCGCTGACACTGAGGCAAAATGACGCGCATGGACGCGCGTCTTAATACTCGAAGCAGACGAAGCCAGAAGCCTCCACCAATAGAGAGGCAAGCTCAAGTCACGGCAAGCTCAATTTTGTGCCACTTGTTCATGCAGTGGCTGACAACGATGAGAAATTATGCCTGAAGTGGGTGTGCGCCACATTTAATAGCTGAACAAAAACAAGCTTTTATAATCAATTCGAACATTGGACGACCCACTCGTTCACTATTCGCTTTGTGCGACAACTGCTTCATCTTTCGTAATTTTAAAACGCTTTACAAGTCGTATGAAAGCGATTCCTTTCCCAACATCAAGCCTGCTTAAGGCAAGTTCTCCAACAAATCCCAAGCGCCGGCATGGCTCAGTGGCAGAATACTGGGCTGGCACCCAGTGGACCCGGGTTCGGGTCTCACTGTGTCATTAGTACTAGGTTTTTTTTTTCTAATTTCGTGCGATGTAGTTATGAACACCAGCGGCAGCGGCAGACAACTACGGTGCAGCGCGAGACCCGAAGTGTGATCTCACAACAGCTTTCCCTGTAAAAAAAACCATAGCATATCCACGGAATGAATGTTGATGAGTGGGGCGAAGCATCCGTCAAACCGTTCGTGCTTCCGTTCGGGTGTCCGTCTGTCCGTATGTGCCCCCATTTGTGCAGCTGTTAATTCGTGCATCATCCCATCTGTAAGTGCACCTGTTTGTGTGTCCATCTGTGCGTGCATCTGTTCGTCCTTGTGTCTGTATGTCTGTCCGTCCGTGTAACCGTCTGTCCATCTAGTGAACACTTCGAGTACCGCCATCTTGCTTCTTTTTATCATATATCCATCATATACAAGTACTGCCATACAGCAGACAATCCAAAGACTAAACGAGAGTATGTACCACAATTCTGCTGTCAGTGCTTTGTGAACACCGAGAGCGTGATAACGACACCGTGCTACGTTTTTCACGACATGTGGACATGCAGATATGTGCCCGAGGGCAGGTATGCGCCACAGGTTACGCACTATGACAACGGGAGATGCACATGCCACGCCATAAGGATCTTCGCCCCTAAAACAATTAGTTGAAAGTTAGCACTGTGTTTGTGTGCTTCTTCTCTGTCCCTGTTGTGATGTGCTACACTGTATAAATTTTGAGTCTAGTGTGCATCTGAATATAGCACAACAGACAGCATCTTCTCCCATTTATTCTTGTTTCCCCGAGCTAAGATGAAGTAGAATGGCCTCTATGTGTGTACACATCTTTCTGAAGTTGACATTAAGCAATTTAATGCATAATTTTACTGAGTTGGAATTGCTATTTGCATATCTAAACATTTGTGCATTGCCTTAGAGTAAAAATAGCGAAATTTCACGTTGGTGTTCCATTATATTACAAGAACTTGTGGGCTCTGTGCCACCCTGCAAGATACTTCAAGAATTTGTGTGTAAGTTACTTTTTTACACTACAGACATGCCCAAACCACCAAACCAGTCACCTTGATGAAGGCGGCCTCCGCTTCTTCAAACATCAGCAGATTGTTGTAGGTGCGGCCAACATTCATGTGAGCTCCAATGTCATCGGGCTGCACACTGAAATGAAAGAGTTGAATGCATACATTCAGAGAATGTTCCAAGATGTGGTCAATAAATCATTTTTAGTTACGTTTATCCTCGCATGAAATTTACTATACATACAAGACATTTATTTATTCATTGATTCATTCACATCCTCAAGAAGCATTGTAGAGGTGAGGGGCTATAGTACACCACCAAAGATGTGTACATTACAACAAAATTTAAACAAAAAAAATATTGTCATGGGATGAGACTAGCCAAAAAGAAGAAAAAAGTATATTTACAAAATGTACACAGAGTCCTTCAGTGAAGATGACAGGGTCAGCAACAACAACACGAGCTCTATTTTTATCTCCATCTCCATTGCTTTGCTATAGCATTATTTGTTGTTCATCATGACTTCTTAACATATAGCCGCCACTGGAAGCACCCTCTCTGTGGTTAAGAAAGAGTATGATTCCTGTGCGGAGAAGTATGGCTTAAGATGGGAGAGTTGTACAATATCAGCACAGATGATGACGGTGGAGTGTCTAATGGGGCGATCTCATATAGGCGACCTCAGTCAGTTGGCACAAGAATAAGGCTTGGAATGTAAGACTCGGAATAGAGAGAGAGGAACTTCAACGACAGGCCAACGTGACGGCAAGGGGTCAAGAGCAAGACTACCGGTCCTGAAGAGTAGGAGATGACTCAGTGATGGCTGTCACATCGATAATTTTGCGAGAGCTGTGAGGCAGAAAGGCAATCCCAAATTATCTGGCGAACCGTATGAGCCCGAGTATTTACTACCACTGGCGTACTCAATAGGAGTATACATATCTGACAGCAGAAAAGTGTCAAAAGGTAAAGTGGGATGGCAGCCATACAAGAGATAGAAGGGAAAAAGCAAGCAGTGTCATGGCGTGATGAGTTGTCACGAAATGTCAGGTAAGGCGAAGTGGTATCCCAATCACGATGGTCGGCAGAAACATACATGGACAGGAATGCCGTCAGCATGCGATTGAGGCACTCAGTGAGCCCATTTGTTTGTTTGTAGTAAGCAGTGGTGAGTTTATGACGTGTGGAACACGAGTGAAGAATGTTGTCCACAACCTTGAAGAGAAATGAACGACCACAGTCGGTCAGCATCAGACGTGGTGCTCCATGGCAGAAAATGACATCGTGACGGAGGAAGTCTGCAACATCAGTAGCACAGCTTGTTATTAGCACTAGCGTGATAGCATACCGCGTCGCGCAGTCTGCAGCAATGACTACAGTCCAACCAACTTACAATAATCCCAGAAATAATGATGTAACAGTTATAACGACCATACTTCAATGCACTTATTATTCCCTATGCTAACCATTGAAACTGAGTCCACATACAGTGAACAATTTTCAAAGCTTCCTACTTTTACGACGAACACTTCTGACACGGTCACGGTAAAAATATGGTGCATACAAAGTGAGAAAATGTTAGAACAGACATTCTAAAGCACGCGATAGGTGTGTAGCTCGCGTGGGCCCCGCTGCGGTTTATTTGCAATGAAGATAGCATACGCCACGGTGAGCACAACAGGCAGGTTCTAGACATTATAGCGAGGTCGCTCACTTTCCAGACATTTGTTCACTGGCAGAACGAAAGTGAGGAAAAAAAAAAAAGAAATACGAGGCATCATAAGGACCTGCAGTCAGCTTTTGCACTGGCAAACTTTTCTAACAATGTTCACGGTATTTAGGACCGCCATTGATTAAATAACAATGACTTCAAATGCAAGAAGCCATAAATATGAGAAGCGATTGTGGTGTTGGGCATTTCATGGCCCTCCGATCAGATTCGGTTTTGATGGGATATGTGTCACACTGTGCCACACAAGGGCTATATCGGTAACCTTTCGTACGCGCCCATGCGCGCTCTCTGAATAAACAGTTCCCCTCCCAGTTCTCGGCTTAGCGTGACGTTCTTCACAGTGCTCCCACGCTAACAGTGCCCTTTGTCTTCGTGGGACGATGCCCCGGTGGCGATACAACAAACTGGTGATGAAATTAACAAAAAGTAAGCAGCTTACGTACTTCATTGGCATCCTCCATCGATTTCCTAAGTGAGTTGTCACTTTTTCAGGCTCATTTACAGGGCACCGCTCTACTTGCACGCTGCAAATGCGTTGGGCCTACTGCGGCCACCCCTGCATGTTTAGCCAATCCTTGCTGGCACCAGTGACTCGCCAACGCATACTGGCTACTGCGACTCCTCAGTGCCTCAATGCTCCAGCATGACTTCCGTGATTGCTCTTCCACCGTTTTTGTAAACAACTCCCCCCCTCCACCCGTGCCTTGGCCCAAATGGCGTCGTGTCTTTCAGCAGTATGTCGAAGTCGCCATCGGAGATACCCCCGCCCCACTCTCAAGAAAAGTCTACAACTTACTGCACGGAGTTGAGGGCCTTCATGCCTACTAGACACTTCGCTGCTGAAGGTTACTGTTTAAGTTGGTCAAGTCTTTCCTTTCCCCGTTGACACCGGTGCGACCGTATCATTGCTCAAATCACAAGATTTCAAGAAGTACTTTTTGGGGACCAGACTACTTGACTTATACGTTGTTCTTCAGGACTATTCGAAGAAGTGCATTTACAATTTCATTAAATATTTTTTTACAAACGTTTGTTACAATGATACCACTGCTCCTGTCACATTTTACGTGATGAAAGAGGGTTCTTCACTTCTTGGGTTGGATGCCATTTGAAGCCTCCACATAACCATCGACGACGCAGCACTGTCCTGCTCACAAGTTTCAAGTTCAGAAACCCCGAGAATTCCTGCCAATGTTCCTTATGAATTTCTTAACCTCTTCACCCAGGAACTCGAACTGATGAAAGGGACATGCACAAAGTGAAAGGCCGTCCAGGTGTGCAGCCAGTCACTGCCAAACTTCGCAGATTTCCATCTCTACTTTGACAGTAAGTCTCCGACGAACTTTCTTGTTTTGAAAAAACAGGCGTCATCGAGCCAGTTTCAGCATCAGATTGGGTCTCTCCACTAATCGTGGTGAAGAAAAAGAATGGTTCCTTAAGGCTTTTTGTGGACTTGCGTGAACCAAACAAAGTTATCGCAGTTGATGGGTTTCCCCTACTCCACATTGAAGAACTTCTACAGCAACTTACAGGTGCTGTTTACTTTTTAAAGCTAGATCTTGCATCAGCGTACCATCAGATGAACTTGTCAGAATCAAGTAGAGACTTAAATACCATTGTAACACATGATGGTTTATTCTGATTCCATAGACTTTGCTTTGGGCTTCCATCTGCCCCTACTGCTTTGCGGAACATGATGTCAGACATCTTGAAAGAATGCTCTGGAGTGCTGAGCTACTTAGATGACATTTTGGTCTAGGGTCGAATGTGTGCTGAGCATGGTGCTAGTTTACAAGTTGTACTAAGACACATAAGCAGCACACAAATGAAACTCAACAACAAATGTGTCTTTGCCGTCAAGCAAGTTCAATTTTAGGACGCAATTTCAGTGCCATTGAATTGTCTCCTCTTGATTCCAAAGTCCATGCTATTTATAATGCACCTGAACCTACAGACTCTGAAACCTTGCACTTATTTCTTGGTCTCGCTGACTATTAGTCAAAGTTAATTCCACATTATGTTGATGTTGAACCACTGGGTTCTATGTTGCATAAAGGCCAAACATACAATTGGTCCAAGAAAGATAATTTGACTTTCAACAATATCAAAGAAGTACTAGCTAAAAACCCAGTCATTCAACTCTTTGACGAGAAGCTTCCAATAGTCATCATGACTGATGCGACCAACAGAGGATCGGGTGCCGTGTTTAAACAACTCAAAGGTGACCAGTTAATTACAATTGCTTTTGCTTCGAGAACTTCTGCCTCCTGCTGAACGCAGATACTCTGCTGGTGAGCGTGAACCCCTAGCCTGCCTCTTTTCTTGTAAAAATAGCAAGTGTTCTTATGGGCTAGACATTTTACAATACGCACTCATCATCAAGCTCTTGTTACATTACTTTCTGCTGAATCAGAGGGCCGACCCCCATTACGCATTTCACGCTGGTGTGCCAGACTGTTATACTACTTCACTGTACAGTACTGCAAGGGTTCACATAACGTTGTGGTGGATGACCTTTCTTGTTTACCTTTACAACTTCCAGTCTGTCCAGAACTAGAAGAAGAAATAATCTTTCTCGTTACTCCTCGCATAAGTAAATTTGACCTACAGGCAGCAACTGCTGAAGATGCTACATTGCAACATGTGTTTGCATTCATTGCTAATGGCTGGCCAAATAACAAATCTCTGCCACCAGAACTAATTCCCTACTTTGCAATCAGATTTGAGCTGTCCCGTGTAGAAAACTTAGTTTTTCGCGCAGATAGGATCACTATTCCTGCATCAATGTGCAGCAGACTTGTGCAATAGGCTCATGAAAGCAACCCAGGCATTGTCAAGGCGAAACAATGGCTTAGAGAGAAATACTGATGGTCTGGCTTGAATAGCCAGGTTGAACGTGCTGTTTGTGTAACCGACGCTTGTTCTGAGAAACGCTATAAGAACAGATGCACCCGGACACGAGAGGCCACACAACGCTGCGGCACCTGTAGCGTCTCATAAGCAAGTGCCGGTTTATTGCTAAAACACTAGTAAGGGGCGCAGCCCAAGGTTGCTGGAAAACTGTATAATGTCCGCTGCACGTCCCTTTCTTGGCAATGATGTGTTGGTCAGCACTACATCTCTAAGATCTGCTTGAACTGCTTGTCGTAGGGCAGGAACTTTGATGAATCACGCGTTCTCAGAGATCTTCAGACAGGCTGTTTGTCGGAAGTGCTGTCTGCGGTGATGTCCGGTTCTACTGGGTCAGTCACAAAAGTGAATGACCCAGCACTGTCATCGTAATCCTGGTCAGTCGTTCGAGGCACTTCCAAATCGCAGGTTGGCTGCACATCTTTTATCATCCCATCATCGGATAGCTTCCTAAAACTGAAGGCTTTCGACGTGGGTCGTAGACGCTGTCTATTTC